ATCACATTTCGAATTTTTCATATGTTAGAAACCTTTAGATCAATATGATTGAAGGTATCAGGTGAGTTTAGCAAAGATTACAAGTTTAAGGTGTGTATGTGTATATGCATGCACAACATCTGTGTACTGTACATGTGTGTGTATATATAAAGATTACAGATTAAAAAAGAACATCTAACTTGGTCTATTACTACAGAATGAAGCAAAATATTTTAAAACTGGACATATTGAAGAATATTTCTGAATAATGGACCCAGAAACTAAATTAAATTGTCTGCCTCTATAGTTTGTGTTTAAAAATTATTATGAGAGAGGAACAAGTTTTACCAGACAAAACTGAGACTGATCTGAAAGTGGATTTAAAATCACAGGTTATAAGCATGATATGGAAAAAGATGCTACACTAGACATACAAATGAAACTGGCTTAATAATTAAAGGTATTTACAAGAAACAAACCAAGAGAACAGCCTGGATAATTTTCCTAAATTGGATTTACAAAACACTTTGAAGAATTTTGTGAGAAGGGACAAGTAAAAATGAAATCAAGTTCTACAGATTTATTGGAAGGGTTTAAGGATCAAAAATATTAAAGTAAAAGGAAGGTATATAAAGTTTTTTTATTTGATTAAGGGTAAAATAGATACGTTATCTCTAGTAACCCTTACAAGACTTTTGCTGATCAGGACTGAAATAACATGGTTTTAAGGATTTGTTTATAGGCAAGACAAGAGATACAGGTAGTCCTCGAGTTACGAGTGTAACGGAGCCTGCCCATTTCACTCATAACTCGTAGAATGAATCTCGTACCTTGAACGAGATCACTCCCTTGCTCATTAAGACACACGCAGCTCGTTAAGTGAACATGAGGTATCTCAGGGTGGGAAAGGCCATGGAGGACCTAGTGATGGAACAGGCCCCCAAGGCCTCCCCGACCCATTACGATACCTCATGCTTCCCCCTCCCTTCCTGCCATGCCGGACTCACCTGGAAAAGATCCGTCTCCTCTCTGCTGTGGTTCCTGTTGCTGCCCGAATCTGAGGCCAAGGAATGCTTCCACAGCCCCCCACGATCCAATCCAGACTTTGGAGGCCTTTTCCAGGCCGCTGCCACCCAGATCTGAGGCTGGGGGACACTTCTGCGGCTCCGTGACCCGATTTGGGGCACCGGAAGCCTTTTCCAGGTTGCTGCCTCCCGGAAACAGTTTATCGGAGGGCTACGTAAGCATCCCCCAGCCTCAGATCCGGGCGGAAGTGGCCTGGAAAAGGCCTCCGGAGCCTGGATCAGGCTGCAGGGGGACTACAGAAGTGTCCCCCAGCCTCAGACCCAGGTAGCAGCAGCCTGGAAAAGGCCTCCGATGCCCCTATCCAGCTTTGGATGCATGTGGAAGTGTCCCCCAGCTTTGGTTCCATTCCCTGTTGCAGAGAACAGAGGTCTAAAGTACTGCGAGATCAGTAGCATGAGATCTCACCCCACTGATCTCATGTGATCTTATACTACTTTAGGCTTTTATTCTCTGTGAACGCACGGAAGGCCTGGAGCAGCCTAGAAAGGGAAGGATCTCTATCTTCGCAGGGTGAGTATTGAAGGCCTGGTGCTTAGGGAGACCCAGGCAGGGGTGGGGAGGGAGGGAATAACCAGGATGAATGTTGCAGTGTCACTGCAGTCGCTTGTAAGGGTGAATGACTGCCGTGTTGTGGAAACATTCGTAATTTCAGGACTTGCTTGTAAGCACTAGAGTGTGCTCATCACATAACTTTGAATGAGCGTTAAGTGAATGTTCGTTACTCGGGGATTACCTGTACAGAAAGATCATTTGTTTTATTTTAAGAGAATGTGATAACTTACTAAAATTATTTATAAAATTTTAATACACTTGTTTACAAAAGTATGAGGAGACATAATAAGTATCTGCTCTTTGAAACACAGCTTGATAATTTACTGGGATCCATAAATAAAATCTTCAGCCAATAGTCAAATAGATTAATTCCTAGGTGACTGTATATGGGATACATCCAACTCTGCTTTTATTGCTGAAGCTGGCATGGATTTGTCCACCCCCAAGATGTATTTCAGGAAATCAGACTATATCTATTTCAGTAAGGGAACATTTGTGCATAGTTCTGTACTGTATCTAATAATTATTTTGCTGTTCTATACCTTGATTATTAGAACTAGGAACCAAGAAACCTATGTTCAGTGAGCTACCTTACAATAACAGTAACTAGCTGCCTGGAGAATGAATTCAATATAATGCAAACATAAGCAATAGAACATAATGATACTAGAGTCTTAAATTTTAAAAGAGCTGATTTTAACAAACTCAGAGAGAGTTGGGAAAGAGACCTTGGATGAAAATCCTAAAGGGGAAAACAACTCAAGAAGCTTTGGAAACTCTAAATACCACTGAAAAAGAAAAACGAGACATCTAAGAAGAAACCACCATGGCTGCACAAAGATTTCTCTGACAAATTGAAAGACAAAAAGGACAAGTACAAAAAATGGAAAGAAGGACACCTAACTGAGGCAGAATATCAGCCAGAATATGCAAAGACGAAATCAGGAAAGCAAAGGCTCAGAATTAAACAAAAACTTGCAACAAGAGCGAAAGATAATAAAAAAAAAGTTTCTTTCAACATATAAATAACAAGAAAAAAAAATCAAGGAAACAGTCGATCCACTAAAGAGAGAAGACGGTAAGGAAGTAACAGGCAGCAGAGAGAAAACAGAGCTGCTTAACTTATTCTTTGCATCGGTCTTCATGCAAAAACAAATTATAGCCCAACCTATCAAAAACATAACTGTAAAAGACAGACTAGAAATAAAAGTTAAAATAAGCAAAAAAAATTGGTAAGAGAACACCTGTTTGATCTTGATGAATATAAATCACCAGGACCTGATGGATTACATCCCAGAGTTCTGAAGGAGCTGGCAGATGTCATCTCAGAACCACTGTACCATATCTTTCAAAACTTCTGGAGCACCAAGGAACTATCTGAAAACTGGAAAAGAGCTGATGTGGTTCTCATCTTCAAGAAAGAAAAATAAATAGACTCAAGAAACTACAGATCAATATCAGCCTAACATCAATACCTGGGAAGATACTGGAAAAGATAATCAGAAAACAGATCTGCGAACATCTAGAACAGTGATTCTCAACCTTTCTAATGCCGTGACCCCATAATACAGTTCCCCATGTTGTGGTGACCCCCAAGTGGGTGTGGCCACCAATAAGAGGGAGTAGGACAGCTAGGGAAAAGGGAAAAAAATGGCGGACAGCATGGTTTGGCGACCCCCGTGAAATGGTCATTCGACCCCAAATGGGGTCCTGACCCACAGGTTGAGAACCACTGATCTAGAACAAGTAAAGTAATAACTAAAAGTCAGCATGGGTTTGTTAAAAACAGATCATGCCAAACCAATCTTATTTTATTCTTCGATGAAGTGACTAAATTAGTAGACCAGCGAAATGCTGTGGACATAGTATACTTAGACCTCAGCAAGGCATTTGACAAAGTAGATCACAACCTACTTTTTGGTCAGCTAGAAAAAAAACGGGATAGATAGCATCACCATCAGATGGATTTGCAACTGGCTGACAAACTGTACTCAACAAGTAGTCCTTAATGGTGCTACGTCTACATGGAGGGAAGTAAGCAGTGGGATACCACAAGGTTTCTTCTTAGGCCCAGTACTCTTCAATATCTTCATAAACGACTTAGATGAGGGAATAGAAGGGGAAAGTCTATTCCAGATGGATCTTGACAAACTTGAACACTGGGCCCAATCTAACAAAATGAAATTCAATGTAGAGAAAAGTAAAGTCTTACACTTAGGCAGGAAAAACCAAAAGTACACATATAGATTGGGTGAAACCAGGCTAAATAGCAGTAACTGTGAGGGATCTTGGAGGACAATCAATTAAATATGAGTGAACAGTGTGCGGCAGCAGCTAAAAAAGCCAATGCAATCCTAAGTTGCATTAGCAGAGGGTGTCAGAATCCAATTATATTTCATCTTTAGTTATCAAATATAGAAAACCCCAATTCTGCCTTCTCTGGATTCTGCCATAAGAGGGAGAGAAGGGGGAGAACAAAGGGGCTTTATGGCCCTCACTTCCTTCAGTATACTTCTAAGGAACTGAATGTGTGTATTGCAACTTCAAAGAGTTTGAATGTGGTTAGCACCAAAAGGCCTCATCATAACAAAGGAGGCTATTTACCTTTCTTGTAGTTTATCTGAAGTCTCCATCCAGACGGAAGAGAGGAAAAAAGGGGTGGGATTGTGATGCCTGAAACTGTCACTGGAAGAGGGGGGTGATTGGGTGAGACTACTGGGGAACCCCTTAAAACCTCGAATGGGAGAGCTTGAACCCCAAGTCCTATCTAGAACGCCTGCAACCATTTTCTCTTAATAAAGGATCCCTGTTGGAAGAATTATTCCAAGAGTTCTGTCTTGTTAAGATGCAAAGTGGGGTGGGTCTTTACAGAGGGATTAAATCAAGATTGCGTGAGGTACTAATACTACTCTATAAACCCTTAGTAAGACCACACTTAGAGTACTGCAACCATTTCTGGTCTCCACACTATAAAAAAGATATTTAGACTCTAGAAAAAGTGTAGAGAAGAGCAACAAAAATGACTAGGGGACTGGAGACTAAAACATATTGAAGAACTGTTACAGGAATTGGGCATGGCTAGTCTAGTGAAGAACCAGGGGAGACATGATAGCAGTGTTCCAATATTTGAGGGGATCTCACAGAGAGGAAGAATCAATCTATTTTCCAAAGCACCTGAAGGCCGGACAAGCAATAACGGATGGAAACTGATCAAGGAGAGATTCAACCTACAAATAAGGAGAAATTTTCTGACAGTGAGAACAATCAACCAATGGAACAGATTGCCTTCAGAAGTTGTGGAAGAGTCATCACTGGAAGCTTTCAAGAAGAGACTGGACTGCCATCTGTCAGAAATGATGTAGGGTCTCCTGTTGGGGATTGGATTAGATGACCTACAAGGTCCCTTCCAACCTGTTGTTCTATTCTATTCTGATTTAAGGCAGAATATGCTTCCTTTTTCACCATTGGGGAAAAGGCAATCAAAGCTGGATGGCTGTAGCCCTTAAAAAACTCCTCTTGAAATGTGGGAACCAGACATTCATTTCGATAACAACAATTCCTAAGTATACATAGGATTTAACCTAGTCTCTATAACCATGTTCAGGCTCCAGTAACACTTAGTCCTTCTAGTCCTGAAGACAACCAACTTGGCCTTGGACTTACTAACATTAATATATTTAGAAACACAATATGAACTGAACTTATGCAGTAATCTTATTATCCCTACCTAAGAGTGCAACATTAATATTATATACTTTCCTAAAATGGGATAATTACAGATTTATTTTTAACTTTGGACATCTAGATCTGCCAGATATATAGTCTGAACTATACATTTTGCAACTGGCTTTCTTCAAATTAACAGCTTTTCTAGTATCTGTAATAAAACTTAAAAATTTTATGAACAGCAAGACTCTGAGTCTTTTAGTTCAAGTATATTCTGGTTGAAGGCTGACATTTGAGACACCTCTGGGAAAAGTTAAGTATAGATGTTTGTTTTACCCCATCTGTGCCAGAACAAACATCCAGCTTTGATTGCTTCTTTTCCTATAGTGAAACTCCAAAAGGAAGCATATTCTGCTCTAAATCATCCTCCAGGCTGCTAATTACTACAGGTTTGTGCAGGTTGGGGCTAAAGAGTGTGTGTACATGTGCAGTATACTGTATATATGTGCTACTATTATTTATTAGAACCTTCTGTAAGAAAAATAAAACTTGAAACTTCATTACAATATAGACCAGCATGCAGTAATACAATATAAAGGTGTTTTTTTTTAAAAAATTACATGATAAAAAGGGGGAAATTTACAAAACCAATCAGGGTAGAATTAAACTTGCTACAGTAGGTAACTAATAATCAAAATAACAAAACTTGAAATTAAAAGAATATTTAATACACTATCAAGAAGCTACTATACCCAGAAACTTAAAACATTTTTTAAAAGTGCCATAAACCTATTTCTGCATATTTACAACTGAAAACAAATCCTTTTATTTAAAAAAATACTTAGAATATGCCATCACTACTAAACTGAGTTCCTATACAAAAAAATGGAAGAGGGGTCCTGTAATTTTATCTAGAGTAGTTCAAAGTTTTTAGAATAATCCTTTAGTATGAGTTCCATGTTTCCCATTATGTCTTAATTTAATTTGATTGTTACTCGTGCCACTTCAAAGGAAAGTGTAATTGTTGCCAAATAGGAAATATCAAAATTAAATTTGTTCTGCTTTTACTGCAACCATTGTCATCTTTTCTTCATTTAGAAGGAGAGCAATAAAAGGGTTACAACGGGTGCAATCAGACAAGTCCCAAGTTGAGTATCAGATGCCTGCAGCGGAGGACTAGAATCACTGTGTCTAGACTCTCTGGCACCTGACTTCACTTATTTACCAGTGACCAGAGGCCAACCCCCAACTGCTTTCCTTTCATACACCTCAGTCCAGTTCTCTCTATCCCCAGCTCACACATCTTTGAATGATTATGCCAGACATGCATGCCTCTGACTGGCTACTCCCTAACTCTAATGTTTGAAGTAAAGCTCTGGTTTCTTCAGCAGATAATTGAGGACAAAAGCTAAAGGGGCTGTCAACTGAGGACGTTTACCAGCATTAAGTAGATCAAAGAGGGACCAAAAAAGCATAGTGGAAAACATGTGGATAAGTCAGCTGCAGCTTGCCTACTATTCTGTGGAAGAATATTGAATATCACTATGACATCATTGCATAACCATGCTCTTTGATTGGCCAGACTATTACCTATAAGCTCTGTTACAAACATATGGTTTATATTTGCACCTATTTAAATAACGCTTGTGATGGTGGGATATAAACAAGAATGGACTTTTAATTATAACTACAATTTCATCCATTAATCTATGGAAATGAAAAAGTTTTCTAGTGATATTGTATTCTCATCAAAGATTGAAGTACTGCAAACAATTCTATGAGCCTGCAAGTTCCATACATGAAACAAACAGAACTTTGAAAACAGAATTAAACAATCAAAGTTTATGACACTTCTGTACAGTCTGCAAAATTATGATAAACTGGAAGCTTATAATTTACATTTCTGAAAAGGAAGAATCAAAGACTCAATCTCACTTTTTATGATAGTTGGATACGGAAGAAAAAGGAAAAAGGAAGCATATATTTTGGACTATTTCTAAACACTATATAAGAATTATCAATAAACAGTGCCTCCACAGAGCAATGATACAAACAAGTATAAAAAACTACAACTAGGAGCAGCAACTCATTTGTTACAGTCACTAAGTGAAACCATGAGTGGGCTTATGATTTTACTTCAGCTTTCCTTTCCTTTACAGACCTGGTAAGGTCATAAATGTGAGGAATGATTGTAAAGATATTTCTTCATTATTATTGTATTGTGAACAGCAACTGTACAAAAAAGTCACTAAATGAGGATTACCTATAAATGTATTTCTATTACATGGGAACAAAATAAATGACCAGTGATATAAATATGCCAACTGGTGTAAATATAGACTACACTGGACAGACGATTCTGATTCTAATTGCAAATCATATGCTTTTATTTCTTAGTTTATTAAGGCATAGATGCCACACTGATTTCTATTCAGACCAATTTGCTTAACAAATTAAAGAGATAACTTGCCAGAAAGTAAATAAGAAAGAAGTGTAATTATAAGATACTTTAAAAAAATCAGTTCAATTTATTAAATAACAATTTATTAAAAAGTTAGGTATTAAACTCTATTGTCACAAAAAAGAGTAAATTTGAATATTTCTTACTTTAGACTAAAGTCTATAACAAAAATCAGTTCTGTTCATATTGTGAACAGTTCAAAGGCTTGTTAGTCTCCCCTTCCCCACCTACCCCCTCAGTGAAGGCAGAAAACTGTAAGATAGGATATTCTCAAATGTAGCCCTGAGTTTAAGGAATAACCTTCTAAAGAAGCCTCCCTGTTATCCATCAGATACCTAAAAGAAAATCCTCTTCTGCCAAGTATTTTAGATTTCAAAAATCACTTCCATTTAACACTTTATTGTCATATTATACCAGATATCATTGACATTTGAAGCAACGATCTGTGATACTTTACCAGATTTTAACTATCCAATTGTGAAAAATTTTAAAAACTAATTGTAAGGATGGCCGCTTGACAGATTAAATTATAATATATACAGTATATTGTATATGTATATTGTATATGTATGTTGGGGATTTCCATATTTATGTGTCAAAATTTCATTACAGAATACTATGGATGCGATCCAACCTAAATGGTACTGTTTACAATAAAGTATTTTTTAAAAATGACTGGACTCCAAAAATAGTAAACTAAGGTTAATTTGTGCAATAATTAGATTCATGCTGTATATATGTGTACTAAATATGGACATATAACTGGAACAGAAAACTATCAACTAAGCAGAATTACCAGCAAAAGAAATGTTTTGAATAAACCAGGTCAAGAACATTAAGTTACTGAACATATCAATACAATCTAGCGCCTTTACTGAAAAAATGAATGGAAATATAAAATTACAAGGACCTCAGTGTTAGTTAAAAATCTCAATGGTAAAGTAGGATAAATATATCCCTAAAAGTTGCCCTGAGATATTTGTAAAATTCTTTTATAAAAAGATGTGTTTAAATACTATCATTATAATTTAAATAGTGCAACCATAATAAAAAATAGTTCAGCATTTGCATGTAGAATTAAAGAATATTCAACAAAACTAAAAAGGCAAAAGCAGCAGCAGAATTAATATCACATTACTCTACCCCTTAAGCTTTACTTGGAGACCCACTAGCTGTTGACTCTTGCTTTAATTTAAGAATTTTCAAGATAGAACTAATATGAAGGGGAAAAAAAAACATACCTACCTGAGGTATACAGTCAGTATAAGCAAACATTGACTTAAAACGATCATCCATGCTTATATGATAGAGAATACACATAGCCACTTGTTTATAATTTTCATTTCCTGGGGGAGGAGGAAACAAAAACATTTAACAATGAGCACTGATATGAATTAGTCACATCTGATTTATATTTAGCCACATTTAGAAACTATTTTCAAAGCTTATAGAAGGAACAGTTTTTTATAATGATTATGATTGTTTTTAAAATAAAGTATTTTCAAGGAAATCTCATACTAAGAAGAAAAAAAACAAGGGAATCAGTTTAGAGAGAATTTTATTTTGCTATTATATAGTGCAGTTATTATCCTTTATACTCACAGATAAGACAAGAATTTTTCACCAAAATATCATGACAACTCTACCAATCATACTGTATATAAGCTGACCTTTGAAATTTTTGTAAGTTTTAATTTTCATAATTGGTTTATCCACAGATGATGCATGTTTCATAATATTTTCACCGTATTCAAGCGTTAGCTTATCTGCAGATGGGCCATGAGTATATCAGGACACTTTGAAAAAGTACTACTGCACATACTCGTACATAAGCCAAACCCAATTTGGGGGGTATATTCTGGAGCCTAAAATTCTCAGTTTATCCACAAGTCTATACTTGTGTTTACTTTCCTCATAGGTATTTTATCTTTAGAATATGCTAAATGTTGCAAGGATGTAAATTGCCAATTATTTTTCCTTTTATTAGGATCTCCTGCTTCCCCATCCCATCAATTTAAAAAGCTTAGTAACTTGTTCATTAGTTCTATGAATAAGATTTGAAAGGATTGATAAAGAGTTGTATACAGAGTGAAGTAGAAAAATAAGATTCTTTGTGCAGACCAGGTAGAAATACTTTGGGCACAATCCAGTTAAATGTTTTGGACTGGAACATGAATGAATGAATGAAAAGTATTTTACTAAACCTTTTTACATTATGGAGAAATTCTATAAAATTATATCTTTCTAAGATATAATATATAGTATAGTATAATAGTATAATATTATATATAACATATAATATATAGTATAGAACATAAACATTAACTTTCCAATAAATATGGAATATTGGATGAAAATAATTTTTCATGTGATCCTATAATATACTTATTCAGAAATATTTGTCCTCAAACTTCACATAATGAAAATACTGTTGAAAATCAACTATGGAAAGTTTCTGTAATACGCACTTTACACATCATGCAAGTAAAAAACTAATGATATCTTAATATTCTAAAAAAACATTTCTGGAGCTACGTTGTTTAGCCTTATTGAACTGTCTGATTCTCATGCATGATAAAGGATTTTATTTCTTTTCTAGATATCAAAATGTACCTTAAAAAGAAAACAAATTGCCATATCCTATTTACCATTACCACAGCCATGTTCTTCATCTAAAAAAAACTATGGACATCATCTCTACTTTTTTCCTTAAGCGCAATGGTCTATTTTAAAATAGTTTCAATTTATTTTTCAACAAATCATACTTGGAAGACTTGAAATAAATTGTGAGAGGGGAATTAGAAAGGGTCTAGTGGGAGGTGCAAGTCTGTCATTCTCTCAACTGCATCATTTGCCAGTGAAGGCTGAAATAATCAACACAATCCCTCCCCCCCCAGCACCCTCCACAGACAGAAATTATATTTTATATTACAGTTTTATAATAATTATATTTATAATAATTATAATTATATAATTATGTTATTTTTTTCAGGGAGCCACTGAAGAAAATGAACAAGAGAATGTTTCTGGAGCTATGCCTATAATTTATAATGAACTTACAGGTTGTGAGTAGTAACATGTCCACTATTCTGCATAAGTATTAGTAACATAGTGCTATTATTTGTTTTATGTTAACAACTAAAAAGAGCAAAAACCCATTTATGCATGACTGAAAATGAAAATTAGAATCATCTGTAAATAGAGGCCAAGAATTTTTTTTAAAAAAAAAAATACAAAACCCATCTTTTTTAAAGATAAAGGGAGAAAATTAGAAAAAAAAAAACCATTAAAATGTCTCATAGAGACAGAATTTACAAATTAGACTTAAAACCTGAGCCCTAGAAAAAACATCCTGGACACCGTGGATTACAGATAGACCTCAACTTACAACTATTCATTTAGTGACCATTCAAAGTTACAATGGTACTGAAAAAGTGACTTATGACCAGTTTTAAAACTTAAAATTGTTGCATCATCCCCCTGGTCACATGATTAAAATTCAGACACTTGGAAACTGCCATGTATTTATGATGGTTGCACCATCCTGATGTCATGTGATCAAGTTTGTGACCTGAAAGCAAAGTCAATGGGGAAGCCAGATTCACTTAACAACTGTGCTACCAACTTAACAACTCCAGTGATTCACTCAACAACTGTGGTAAGAAGTCGTAAAATGGGGCAAAACTTACTTAACAGCTTAGCAACAGAAGTTTGGGCTCAGTTGTGGTTGTAAATTGATGACTACCTGTATGGCAATAAATCTGAATAATGAGCTCATTAACAAATAAATAAATAAATAATTTTCAGAAATCCTTTTCTCGGGAATTTATTAGTTAACCAACTAATTAGTATGAATTTCATTCAATTGTCCTTTGCATTTATAATACCATTCTGCATTATTTGTTCATTCCCAGATGAGGCAAATTAATTCTCAAAACATCAGTCATAGCAGTCACAACTATTTTATGTGAGATATTGCCATTAAAAAATATATTCAGTGATTTGTAGAAATAATACTGTTTAAATTTGCAGCTGAGGTTCATCTGGAACAGTTGTGGTGGAAAAATATTGTCCCTTGGGCTGTTTTCACACCACATTTTCAACAAATTTAAAGTTCCAACTATATATATCTTGGATCTCAAGTTCAAAATTATTCTAAGCTTTTGAATAGTAAGCCACAAAATAGCAGTTGTGGAGCAGAACTATTTAGCACACCACTCCTATAATTTTAAGGCTAGAATTGGGACATACCAGCCTCATTCATCAAAGCATCTGACTTACAGAATGCATTGCAGTGACTGAAAACTCATACATATATGCAAGAAGTGTTATATATGCTTCTGAAGAGTCAAAATGTGTTAAAAGAGATATTTAGGAGTTGTTTCTTTGTACATGAAATGCCTTCTCTTGCTGACTTCAATCATTTCAAATAGACAATAACTGTGTTGACACATGGGCACATACATATTAAGCCATAATTGTTTGGTTTTCACTTGGTGTTATGTGTGACTCCAGGTACTGTATGATTTGCAACAATGGTTGAAATTAGCCTTCCCCAAACTCAATGTCCTCTAGTAATACAGAGTTCAATTCCCTACCTCTTAGGGAATTGGTGGGTTAGCGATGCTAGTTAAGCAGTTCTGGGAGTTGCCCTACTTCCAGAAGTACCTAAGTTGGAGAAGTGGTTTAAGTCTTCTGTTGATTGTTTTAATAGTTTTTAGTGGATTTCTTATGTTTTTAGTTATTTTTTATTGCTTTTGTATTTTTCATTTCATTATGTGAGTTGGGTGGCTACATGAACAGAACAAATTACTGTTATGTGTGAAATGCCTGATGAATCACTTATTTGGAAGATGGAATATTGTCAACTACTTTTTACTTTCACCCAAAGTTGGTATTAAAAACCCAAAGTTGGGTATTAAAAACTACTCAACAATGTAATGTTAGCCATTCTTTTTCTACATGCTAGATATGTATTGGAGTAACATTATGCTTTTGAATTAAGTTATTTTAGCACATCAAGAATAGACAGCCTTTTGTGATCATGGTCTGTATATTGTTGTTGTTAAACCATTTTTTGATTTCTGATGACTACAGGAGTTACAAATGTGACACAACAGTGCCACTAGAGATTAGGATTAGAATTTTTGAACTGATTTATGAAAGTCAGTAGAGTTCTTTGAAATAAATAAAATTTACGGATTCTACCAAACATTTAATGCATCTACAATTCAGCATCACTTTGATTGCTTAAAGGAAAAAAATCATACCACTGTCATTCATTAAAATATTGAATTCAGAAATATAACTTCCTTAGAAATATACATTAATTTTGGTGGAAGGTACCTCACTAGTTAGATTTCTTTAAATGTGCACAATTGAAAAAAGTAATAATTGTTGTTATCATTTACTACTCCTTTTTGGGAGATAAAAGACTTTGCTGTAGTTGTCTTGGAAGAAGATATTTAATACTTTGAAAAACAATTTAGACATTGAAAGCAATGTCATTAGATATCTAGATATAAATATCCAAGAGGAGAATCAGTTTGATGTAGTGGTTATGAAGCTGGTCTGGAAATCAGGAAACTGTGAGACCTAGTCCTTCCTTAAGCAAGAAAGTAAGCAGGATGACCTTGGGCCAGTCACTATCTCTCAGCCCAATCCAACTCTTATTTGTTGTGGAGAAAATAGGAGGAAGTATTATTTATGTTCACTGTCTTACGTGAAGTAATAAACGTGGGATAACAGTCTAATAAATAAAAAAGAAAGAAAGAAAGAAAGAAAACATGGGGGGGTTGACATAGATATTGTACATAGTAGCACAAAATAAATCCATCTTCAAAATAAATCTGAGTAGTTACCATAGTCTGCAGACCATATTTTTTTATTCTTCATATGTTATAACCAATTACTGCTAGGAAGAAATGGACACCTCACACAACATTCACACATAAAATATTGAAACCAGCTGTAGCAGAACTGCTGTAAGAATGAAGGTTTTTCCATTTAATTGGAAAAACAGGAGGAAACATAACATTTTACTGTTATGAGTAACTTTAAGCAATCATGATAAGATATTTCTGAACTCTTAAGGCAGGACATATGCTTTCTGTTATGTTCTGCTGCATCTATTTTACTGTTTCCTCACTTAATCGGGATGGGCAATGCATGTTTCTTTATAGGATAAATTAGACTTAATTAGAAAAACACTGCTGCTTTTAATAAGTAACTCCTTTCTCATGTGTATGTATAAACTGTTTGCTTAGTACAGGGGTGTCAAATTCGATTTCACTGAGGGCCGCATCAGGGTTCTGGTTGACCTTGGGGGGCTGGGGTGGGCGTGGCCAGGGTGGGCATAGTGGGAGTGGGCATGGCCAGGGGGATGTGGCCACCTCAACATTGCTCGTGTCAGGGGACGCCTATGGTGACCTGGGCAGGGCTGGGGGAATCCATTGCTTCCAGCCTAGGAAGGTGAGACCAGGACGAGGACTATACCCTTGTCCACCAGAAGAGCCTTGCTGTCCCTCTCAGGCCATGCAGAGAACCCCCAGTGATGCAGGCTGCCCAGACCCCTGGGCAGTGGAGGGCAAGCGCCCAATCCAGCCTTTCCCGAGGCTCTGCTTATCTCCTCCTCAAAGCTGCTGCTGATTGGCTTGCTCTCCTTAGCCAAATTGCTCATGGTGTGTGTGGGAGGACAAAATGTGTGGGTCAGAGGGAGGCCCACTCCCTCTCCCTGCAAGGAGACCTTGCTTTGTAAGGTGTTGGTGGGAGAGGGGGTTGCACTGATCTACAACCTGATTGTGTCCATCAAAGCCAGAATGAGCTCAGCCTTAGATTCACGGGGCAGCCCTGGAACCAGTGAGGAGCCGCCCTGCTACCTCTGCCCAGCCCCTGTGCACAAGAGACAGCCAACGACAGTATCTTGAATGAAGTCAGCCTGTGGGGCAAGACAGCCAGCAGGGATGCCAGATTCTACTTGCATGCACGCCTAGGGGGCAGGGCGCAGTCGCCCGTCACTAGTTTCAGGGCTGCTCTGTGGATCTAAGGCTGAGCACGTTGTGGCGTTGATGGCTGGCATCAGTTTGTAGATCAGTGCCCAGTCAGCCTGAGCCGGGCTGAGGTGCCGTGGGCCGATCCTTCACTGTTTCCAGAGCAGGTCCCTGGGCCAGAGGGAACCACATGGTGGACTGGATCTGGCCCATGGGCCTTGTGTTTGCCATGTCTGGCTTAATATATGGTTTTAAATTCAATATGAAAAGGATAGTTTTTTAAAAATAGCTTTTGAAAGGACCATTCATAAAAACAACAATGTTAATAAGGTGCCATAGCTAAGACAGAGGAAGAACAATGCAAAGCAAAACATAAAATAGATTAACATAGCAGGAGAATGAAAAAATGATAACATGGGAAAAAGATAAAAATCATTTACACAGAATTTCAATTTTAAAATGTCAATGACAAAAAATGTGAAATTTTGAGCTGATTATCAGAAACAATTCTTTAGAGCCCTGATTTCAAAAAATTATTAACTCTCCAGTAAAAATTCACATTTTTAAATAGCACCTTTAAGAACTTGTGGAGATTGTGATGTTCCGATGAATGCTATGTAACATGAATTTTCTTATTTTGAAACAAAATAAAATGCATTTCTTAATGTTCATTGTATGTCTAACACAAAAAGAATGGTCACTGTTTTGAAATCTGAAACATCACTATAAAAATATAAAAGGAGTGAGTCAAGCACCACTGGGAAGTATATACCAATTATTTCCAATAGGTTGCTCTGCAATACCAGAATACCCTACTGAAGCATTAAATTATTCCTGCTATATAGAAGGGGTCTTTCTAGTTGTTAATCCATTTCACTTATTTTTTTATTCTGTTTATTTTGCATTAAATTATTCCTGCTATATAGAAGGGGTCTTTCTAGTTGTTAATCCATTTCACTTATTTTTTTATTCTGTTTATTTTGCTTGGTTCTGCAGGGTGGTGGGCGAGATCAGATTTTATAGTAATAATCTGAATATTTTCATCTGATTATTTTGTGAATTTGTAATATTTTGATATTAGAAATTGGGTGCCAAGATTCTTTGTAGCGTTTGTGTTATTATGGGACATACCTTTGCTATGCCATTTAGCACTGATCTAAATCACATAATTTATTAAAGACTATATAGTATAGTCCCAATATATAGTATATCCCAATATAAAGTATACTGTATATTGGAGTCACTTATGTGTGAGTTGCGTGGCTATATAAATTTGCTTAATAAATAATAAATAAATAACCATTTCATGTTTTTTTCTGTTCCCTTTTTAATTCTTCTTAGAATATCTTTCTGAAGTTATGAATGTCAAATTAGTCCAGTTTGGAGAATCCAATCTGAATGTATTATAAACCTGCTTGATGAGCTAAAGGCATCATCTTATTAGTTCAGTTACAATTTAGGTCTGGGAAATTGAAAACAGAACTTATTGCTAGATAGATTGATTGATGGAATCTATTGTTAAGTCAACCATACTGAGGTCCAGCAACTTCTAGGTAAGGTATATATTTCCTTTAGCCTCATTAAATGAGACACAAATACAATGTCATTGTCATTCAGAAATACTTAATATTACTTAAATTCAGAGAGAAGAAATGTTTTAGCTGATACATTTATAATTTTGAGAATAGGCTGTAAGTGCTCTCACAGAATGACTGCCATGGAAAACATTGCTTATTCAAAAACCTGCTGGCTTCATTGGTGAAAAATCACTCATAACTTTGATTTATGTATAAAATTATACAATAATTATTCAGGAAGAGAAAGCAAATTCCAGCAGCCCTTCTAGCTCTCAGGATGCTCTACCACCCTAACATCTTTCCTTTCCATTCCCTAAGCAGGCATGGATGCTTTATATCTAACATTCCTTCCTCTCCCTCTTTTTCTCCACAACAACCCTATGAGATGGGGTGGCCTAGGAGAGAATGATTGATCCAAAGTCATTTAGAGAGCTTTCATGCCTAAAATGAGACTAGAACAGTCTTCTGGTTTCCAGGCTAGCACCTTAACCACTACACCAAACTGGCTCTAAAATAAATCATAAATAATAATAAAGTAATAAAAATCAACAGATTTTGCAGATAAAATATTGAATAACTGATCATGCTAATCAATAGAAAAATATAATTCATAAAATTACAATAAACAATGGAGCATGATTATTAAGACCAATGTTAAGTTTCATAGTGAGAAAAGAATTAAATCTACCCAACAATGCAGTGAGTTTTGGAAGAAGTCCAACTTGCACCATCTTATTTCTCAAGCCTGTATCAAAGGAAAGGTTCAGTAAAAGTCTAAGAGTAATATTCAGAAGATCTTCATGTTCACATGGTATCATTTTCACTAGTTTGTCAATTATATCCATTTCAACCTATGGAAGAACCATGGAAAAACACAAATTTTTGAAATATTGCTAACATTTAACACAAACTGAAGAATAAATGTAATAGACAAATATCTCTCCATTATGTACCAATAATTACATTAAAATTTGGCTTGTTGGAATATCTCATGAATTGTTTATGGATTTTCTTCAGTACAAATAATTTAACTATCCTCAATACATTTTAGTGTATTACGTTGAAATAGTTACATTTTAATTTTTTTTCCATTTTCAATGTTTTTCAATTTATTCAATTTTTCATTCAACTTCCATTCTGAGATACTGTCTACTGCTTTAGGGAACAAGGTATTACACTGCTTCAAATAAAGTATATCATGTTCAAAAATGTATTATTTTAAATTACTTTTAATATTTGCATTTTGTTTTAAAAGTGGTATTTCCAAATATCTATAATCACTATTAATTCAGAAGAGACATTTGGTCATGATTAAAGGTAAATTAAATATCTCATCTTTTCATTTAGTTGAATACAAATTTACTTAATAAAACTTGTTAAGACATAATTCAATAGGCTCACTACAATGACTAAACCACAATAATCTAATATATATAGGATTTTGTCCTCTGAATACCTGAGACCAACTTATATCAGTTGAATCATCTATTCCAATACATTATGGTATAATTTATTACAAGTCACAGTGTCTTTTTAAGAAAGACACCTGAAATTTCATTTTCTCCACTTAATGAACCTGAGATTTTTCTGCATAGTAAGCATGTTCTATCTCTTAAACAACTATGTGACCTTTCCCCATGGAAACAAATAAAGCAATAAAGTGTCTGATGCATAGTATGGGCCACTCAGCAGATAAAAACAAAATGAAAACTAGAAGAAATTTTATTGTGCTTTGTTGACTAGCTTTCAGCTTATGGTAACAATATTTCAATAGAAAACTATAAAATTATACCATATCATTTTTGTTTTCCATAAAGATGCTGAGTTTCTTCAGAAATGACACAACCAATATTAACAGTTCAAAGTTATCTCGGTCGAGCGCTTTCACCAACATATGGACAATATTCTTGTTCCTCATCTTCAATTCAGTTCGTGTGTCCTCAGCAAGATTTAGCAGCAAATAAAGAGCAACTGATTCATCAGCAGGCAAAAATAAAACACACAATTGAGAGATTATGAGTATTCTCTGTTCACTTTTTAAGTCATGAATTCTTTCAAGCATCTGGGACATTACAAATATCTCCTGTACAAAGTTCAGCAGAGAATAATTGCCAAAAAAGAATATGCTGGTTTTATTAACTAGCCTGTTTCAGCAAAATGTAAGTTTCTTAGAGAAAATGTGTACTCTTCCTATACTAAACTCTAATTATCATAACATAACATAATTAATATGGATTAGTCCAAATTATTTTAATGTGAGTTCTTATTATATTCATCAATATCAACTCTTTTGTATATGTACTATATACTGTGTACAACAATATACTGAACTTAAACTTAAAAGATAAATCAACATATCTGCATTGTCCATTTCCCAAATGTGTGTTTTTTATTTCTCTGAAGCTTTTCAAAAATCAATTTTTATACATGTCAGCCCTATTAACAAACCAAACTAGAAACAGATCCAGTGAAGATCTAGACTATTTTTAATTAGAACAATTATAATAAAATGTTGAAAGTCTGAATGTGCTACATTTCCCCCTCTTTTATCTTCACTGAAATTGGGGAGGGGAGGGGACAGTGGGCTCCATGAGACATTTTCACAAATGTTTCTCGGCCTGCGGTTATGTTTCCTTTGTCTGATTGTTCCCTTGGTAGCAGACCTTCCTTCTGACCAAGGCCACCCTCTTTATCCACCACAATGTAACACCTTTTGGTTGTACTGAACTTAATTGTAATTGTTAGCAATTAAACCAATAAACGATTAAGTGACTTCTGTTAAATATATTATCTTCACAAAAATAATACAAATTAATGCATATTAATATGTTTCTGAACATTTTTTCATTCATATTTTGAGCAGAAATAAGTCAAATTAATTAGCTGCATTTTCAAGGTAATCAGATTACATACTTATAAATTCTACTTTAATTAATAAATACTGGGGATCATATTCTTCCTGTTCCACAGCTATTGCAATACTTCCTGACTTTCGAGATACAAAACTTTGTAAGGCATATAAAAAGAAACATTAAGATACATATAGGGGATGAGTATCTACAGAGGAAAGGAAATGATAGTGTCTGAGGTGATCTCTGCCTGTCTCCTTTTCTCTCTTGGAATTTTTCTGACAGGCTATTTAATGGCACTGATCTTCAGGAGGAATGAAAGTACTTACTAGTGGAGTATTTTCATCTAATGAGCATTCAAATCTAAAATTAAATTCTCAGAAACTCTTTCTCTGCGCAATATATTTTCATTTACTGAATACTTTCAAATACTGAATATTTGCTGCTCCATTATTATTATATACACAACAATGTGAAATTATTAATTCCACCATGTTATATTTAACCCAAGGAAGTGAACATGCCTTATACATTAGCTGATACGTCATTGGTTTAACCTATGTTCGAACTTTAAAGGGAGTGCTACAAATAGACAGCTAACTTTTTAAACTTTTGGTAAACAAAGATAAACACTACTAAAATGAGTTCTAAGTCATTCAATTACCTACAATTCTAACAAATAGACTAAGCTATGCAATCTTTCAGATTTTCCCATAATTTCTCTAAATGCTGAGAAGCTATATTGAATAACTGGGAATCAAAATGTGTACCTCGAAGTAGTTGTTCTTGCTTAACCACCAGACCTTGGTACTTTTTAAAGGTTTTTTCATATTCTTTTTTCAGAGTTTGATTTTCAGGATCTTCATCAAGTGGATATTTAGAGATAAGGATATGCCTAACACTTAAGAAATGCAAAACCTATCAATGCTTTTTGATCATGAGGAGATGCATGTGTCTTGTAGGAGTACCTGCTGCAATTATATAGCATAAGACAAGAATCTAAGAATTCATGTTTACTTTGTTCAGAAAGCCTAAAGGCACATGCTATACTATCACTCCCATTGGCTTCTCCTGCTTGTAAGAGCAATTAAACCAGTCACCAATGTTCTTGTAATATGTTATAAGCAGGAACTCTGGATTACTTTCCCACTAATTGAAAGTAAGACCTTACCAAAAACAACCCAGGAATTCCAGTTCATACACAACACAAACCAAACACTGAATGGGGTTTCCATGACTCGCTTAGCTATTTCTGTGAGCAGGAAGGAAGCACATATGAATGAGCAATGAATATCAGTATACTGTCTGTAATAAGCAAGAACTATTTGGACATTTTGTGACATACGAACAGTCTCAGTAAATGCCATCCAATATAAATATAGCTATTCAAAAAAGCAGATTTGCTGCTACTTTGTTGATTTAATCAATCTATTAAAATCTTAGTTCTCTGCACTAACCTCAAAAAAAGGGACCATGACAGACCAATACTAATTTCTTGTAGCAACTGCTAAAATAAGATAACCACTAAAATAAAACATTTTCTATCTATACAGAAAAGATACTAATATTCTATTCATTCGCTGATAATAGAGCCTATATATTCAAAAAGGTACCATTCTCATAAATAATATATTCAATTATGAAAGCATTACTAAAATATTTTATTTAAAAATTAAAGGATAGGAGAATCTGAAGAACAACCAAATGAGTATGCAGAATGAACACAACAAGCTGGATAAAATGAAATAGACTGTTCTAAGTTGTAAAAATATGTTGGATTCATGCTTGTCCATTAATCTATTAACAACAACAAACAAGGATATCAGCTTTCTTCTTCTTGGTAAGTTCCTCTTGCCAGAGTTCGTGCCTCTTTAGCTCATGATCAATGATGTTCATGCAAAGAGCTCCAATTTTATAGTGTGTTATCAGTCCATGAAACTGAGAAAAGCTACATTAAAAAGAATTAAATCAGAGTACTGGCTCCAGAGTAAATCCTATATTAACCCACAAGCATAACTTAATAACCACTGCTTCCAGAACATATTGACTTACATACAGTACATGTTACTATACGTACCTGGAAAAGCAGAAGAATATATATATTATATTAGTAGCAAGTTCTACACTTTGTTTCCAGTCCTCTCGTAGAACCCTGGCCAAAGCACCCAATGCAGTTTCTAAAAAGTAAGAAGGAAAGTACTTTCTCAACAATAGCATGAAGTTCATATTTCTAATGCACTACAGTATGTCTTGCCTAATGACTGAATCAAACAAAAGGTAGCATCAATCAGGGTTGAAAAATTAAGGGTATGAATAATCTCTGTTCATTTCAATATGAACCTAGTAATAAAAAAAATATTCTGCAAGGCTGACCAGCATGTGAATCTTTCAATGGTCAAGCTAGTCTCGCTACTCGTCTCAAAGAAGTTGCCTGCTGCCTCTCTGAACTGCAAAGCCCTGATAACAAGCTTATAGTTTTCTTTTTCCTAACCTTTCTGCTATTTAACAGTGTGGCTATTCCCATTCCAATAAGGTAATTGCTCCAACCTCCTTCACATTAAGGATATAATTGACCTCCCAGCCTTGAAGAACAAAGTAGTTAATCTTTTGCTCTCTCTCCCTCTCTCTCTCTCTCTCTCTCTCTCTCTCTCTCTCTCTCTCTAGTTACATTATTGTTCTATTGATTGATTTTTCCCATTCATTCTAAGGAGCAGGAACTATCCCTGGTTCCCACATGCATGCTTTTGTTTATTATGAATACATAAGTGTCAATTTCAGGATAGTGCTGGATGGGAAGAGGGAACCTGGTGTTATTAAAATATGCATCAGAAGATTCATAAACACAAGCCATGGACATGATGAAAGGCTCTCCTGCCATTGCCTGTCATGGATGAACAGGATGAGAGCTCCCTCAATATACTGCTTGTATAACATCACTTCATTTAATACAGCTTTATATTTTATTATAATTGTGGCATCAATAGTTCATTGCTTTTTTTTTCAGGAGCTCACCGATGTAGTCATCATAATCAAATCCTGCAGGGGGAAAAAATCTGTGAAACTAGGTACAGGAAGAAAGCTCAGAGACAGTTATTGGGATAGTCAACTATGGAGATCTGAGAAGGTTCATTGACCTGTGTGGACTCCCATGAGAATACTTAGGGTTGGACATTTCTCCAGCTACTCTGCAGAAAATGATATCTCAACTAGAGTAAGGGTCCCTCATGGAGAGAAAAAGGGAGTTGCATTAATAGGTTGAATAAGAGAGTGACATGCCTTCCGGTTCTGCACAGCTAGACTACACCTGAGGGATGGAGACAATCCGAGCCCTACAGCTGATTTCTCTCTGTTTGGGGACCCTAAATGGGCCCAAAGCTACCCCAGAGAGGTGGCAAGGAAGGAGGGAAGCCTTGCCAATCCTGGGGAGATGGTGGTCGATTCGGATGTCTGGGAAAAGCTCTGCAAAAACCGACAGAAGAAAGGCTACATGCAGCCTAAGCCAAAAAGCACTAAACTAAGTGTGATTATAAACAGTGTGAGTGAACTGGGTAAGAATATTGACTTTCTCTCTTCTACCTGACTGATTTCCTGAGAAAAAAAGAAAAAACTCCAGAAATAAAAATCCTCTGAAAGTGAGGGGGGTTCTTTGTTCCACCCTCCTCTAAACAGAAGCAGCAAATTAAGTTTACGGGGAAAAATACAGAAAATTGAAAGATGGACTGGTGCTGACATCTAATGATGGATGAAAATACTGCCCTAAATACACAGCCCAGAAAGAAAAGCCTGTTGTCCTGATTTTCAGGGCTTTAAACAAAGAGCAGCTGTGACAAAAGAAAAGAAAACATTGTGGACTATCTACAAAGTGAGAACTATAAAACTTAGAAAAAAATTGACCTTCCTGGATTATAAATATTTTTTAAATTGTGACTTTAAAGTAATTGGCAGAGAAAGGATTTTTGGTCATTAAGGAGCATCAGAGATTTGCAGAAAGAACATATCAAGAAAAAATAAATACTTACCAGGAGGAAATGTATGTTCTGTTACAACAAATGGAAATGATATTAACCTCAAACCATGAGGAAATTAAAAATGAATTTGAAAATTT